ACAAAAAAAAAAAAAAAAAAAGAGGGGAACAGCTCAGTGTGAAGGCCCTGAATTCCATCCTCAGTAGGAAAAAAAGAAAAGAAAACCCTAACTTTTGTCTAGAACACCCTAAAACACCCAAAGGATTGGCTATTGTGCAGAACATCTTTGTATGGCTGTAAGAAAACCACACTAATTTGGACATGTTTCTTTTTCCCTGCCAGAGTGTTAGCAGTTTAGAGGCAACACAGGCTTCTGTGATGTAAGCAGGCTGGTGTCAAGAGTTCTGGATCTGCTCAGCCTGGTCCTGCCTCAGCCTGCCAGTCTACTAGGTCTCTCTCTGCCTGAGCTCCACCTGGGGACTGATCACACACCGGGGGTGTAGGAAACAAAATGTGCAAATGATCCTTGGGGCTGAGGTCATTTTCAGGTGTTACCAAGCTCGTCAGGCAGGTTAGTGTGAGCCTGGGAGTCAGGTAACAACGGACTGCAAACCTTCTGTACCCACTGGCGACGGAGATTCCTGGTGCTCCAAGCTGCAGTTCCAAGAGGAGAGAAAACAGGCCTAGAGCAGAGGTTTGTGCCTGTGGCAGCTCATGTCCTTCCTGGATTCCGCAATGCTGGGAGAAATCCTGCTATCAAGTCTGGCTTTGGGGAGACTCGGGCTTCCTCGAACTGATTTATGAGTGTGGGATGGTTCTTTTCTCCTCACAGCTCAATACAAAGGGCTCTGGCTGGCCTTGGAAGGGACGGGGCAGTGTGTGTGTGTGTGTGTGTGTGTGTGTATGTGTGTAGCTTTAAACAGATCCAGACATATCAGCAAAAAGAAATGCAAAAGGGATGAAAAAGAAAAGCAAGACCTCCAAACCAAGGAACTCCAAATAGTCTAGCTAGCACTTACTGAGAGTATACCAGAGGGCGCTGTTTCAAGTGCTCTGTATTTATGAAAGCAGTTCATCCTCACGCAGCCAGTGAGGTAAATGCGCAGACAGACAAAGAGTCAAGGCTAGCCAGGGAAGGTCTGAGAGAAGCCACACTCCCGCCCAAATTGACTGCCCTAGGACTGGTTCCCCCATATGATATCAGACTGCGCCTGCCACTTCTACTGCAAAATTAATAAGAACTGAGTCTTTCGAACAGAAGGTGTTTACTTACAGGAAGATTTGACCATATGCCTTCTGCATCCCTCCTAATCCGGAGATTCTGTGACCTTAGGCTTCTACAGTTTGGTTCAAATACACAAATGCCAAAGTCCTCCTCATTCCAATGCCAAAATTCATTCCATATTTACTTAGTGGAAATCTCAGTACCCACTTACACACATATCTTATTTTCTGGGTTTTTTCCCCCTAAGGATTGCTTCTTCCGCACATAATTAAGTAGTGCCTGTGAATCCCTCTTCACCTTAGTGGATTCTGGGAGATCACTAGGCATTCTTTTTTTTTTTTTTTTTTTTTTTTTTTTT